TATTTATTCCTCATCTCTCGCTTCTGCATCCCTCTCTGCTCCGGCGAGCATGCCGCCGTCCTCCCCCCTCTATCCTTGCCCGAGCGGCGGCACCCACCAATCTCCCCCCACCGGCACTCCATGAAGAGACATACTAGCCGTCGCCGCTCCCGAGATCCTCCGACGCCGCCTCCCCGAGCTCGGGCGTGCGGGCTCACGACGGTGGCCGGTGGCAGGGCACTACTGCGGCAAGGTTGCTGCGGCAGACAAGAGAGGACCATACGTATGCAATCATCTCGACGACGAGCTTGCTCTGGGCGCGGGCGACCTCGCGTCGTCATCGCCATCGCCGGCGGATCCGCGGGCCACCTTCTATACCAACGCGAGAATGCCCACCGCGCCGATGCTCCATGGCTGCTCCACATACCGCGCCTGCGCTCGACGGAGAGGCGGACGAGCTACCGATGTTATCCATGACTCCTCATGTGGCCAGTCGCGGGGTGGTGACCACGGCATGGTCGCTACGGCGGAGAGGGAAAGGACCACCCGCAAGCAAGCAGCAGTCAACGACGGCGAAAGCAAGAACACACGGGGTGAGGTCTCCTGTAGTCGCGCTCCTTTCCGACTCAGCGCTAGCACCAAGCAGCGATCTGGGCGACATGGCGGATCCTCGCCAGATCTAAGCGGGACAAGTGCTGGAGGTGCGGCTGGGGCTGGATCCGCGCGAGCCAGTGGCTTGTGGAGGCGGGTGGTAGGTGGTTGGGGCGGGGGGAGGCTCGCCGAGGTTGGGTGGGTCACCGGGGTAAGGCTCCGGCGGCGGCGCTGGATATGGTTGTTTGTGTCGGGGCTGCTGAGGAAGAAGGTGACTTAGGGAGAGAGAGGGGGGGATAAGAGAGAGGCCGACAGGTGGGCCCTCCAGCCACCTCAGCGAACTATCCACGTAGGCATGCCACATCAGCCCGACAGGTGGGCCCAACCGGTCAGATCCGCTGTTTTCGCGACCAAATTTGAGCATCAGTGCTCCGCGTTACAGATTAGGCGTAATTTCGGTGATTTTTTGTGCCCTGGCACAAATGTTGTATCAAGTTGTTACCCTAGCCCAAGTGTGGTGGTTTTGGGTAAATAACTCCCAAAATGTACCACTTCTAACATTGTATATATTACTCTTTTCTGTGGGTAATTGTCTATACTATTGACTCAAGTAGGCTAATTTGTACTGACCTCAAGCAAAATCCTTAGTTTTTGTGAATCATCTCTAAAATTTGTTATACGTATCATTTTGACTCAATTGGCTTATATTCCTTATTTTTTTCCAATTACACTTATGTTTACAAAATGATTGAACCATTTACAAGAAAAAGGGCACCTTGCCTATATTCATGAATCCAAAAGATATGCTTGTAACCAACGGGGGTACCAACGTTATTGAATTCAAGCAAGTGAACTAAACTGCACTTACGTAAGAAGGGAAGCTAAAGAAACAAACTTTCACGAAACATCTTTGCAAGAACAATAAATGTGTTACTATGCTTTGAAATCTCACTCAAACTTAAGTAGACGACCGGTTGGAACTTGTCTTGCGGTTATGAATCCTTTTTCAAACAAAGATCATTGTATTAAAGTAGAAGGGAGCGAGCAAGCTATTATTTTGAGGTGCTGGATAGAATTCTATACGATTGAGCAAGATTC